ACTCATGGGGGGCGCTGAGTATTCCTAAAGGAAGAACGCAGTAACGTTTTTTATCGTGAACGGTGCCTTTAAGTATATTGCAGTGTTGATCACAGTTACCTACTAAAAACATTCTGATGATACCGTGATAAAGGCGAATAATGTGATAGAGTTAGAGACGCCTCCAGTTTTCATGCCCTTGTTTGTTCTCTCTCAGTGGCTGCTTTCACAGTCCCCCGGCCGCCCCGCGCGCTAGCGGGCCGACTGGCGGACTATGAAAGCAGTCAGTGAGATAGTATATACTGTCCCATTCCTCTATAATTCCAACTTTTTGCATGTAGCCAGCGTTTTACTGACCCCTCCCCTCCTCAGACTAGGTCAGAACAGGGCCAAACTATCATTCATCTGGCTCAGTATCATCTCTAAGCATCATCACAGGCCCACCACCAAGCTGCGTCGTACTATTCTATGATTCAATTTATTAGCATTAGAGACCTAGAGTATAGTGGGGTGGTCCTCTCCAACTACGTTTCTACCAGTCGGTTGGTTCGTCCGATGGGATCAGGTAACCAAACATGCAGCCAATGGAGTACGCACTGTGTCGTCATTTCGAGTGTTTTGCGTGGGATGTGAAGGCAGTGCATCATAAATGACGTGAACCCAAAAACTCAAAGATCATTGCGACCGTAGCTCCAATTGTTTTTTTTTTGTTGGGTGTAGTGCATTTGTTTATGGCTTTTTATGTGTATATAATCTGGAAAAAATATAGCACACACAACTATTAGCCCAGGGTTGAGGAGGATTACCTTTCAATGATTATTTTTGCCTAATTTGCGGTGATACGGTAATGTAACCGTTTAAAAGATTCAACAGTTGCGAGTGGCGTGACGTCATTTTTATTTTTTTGCAACTTTCCACTTAAGTCCCTATATGGCAAATGCTTCATTCCATTTCACGGCTGTTTCTTAAGGTTGTTTTGTTCTTGACTCTGTTTACTTATTTAATTACTTATTTTTCGTTAATTCTTGACACAATTCTTGGAATCACTTAATTTTTCATGTAGTTTTGTTGTTCTTTTTTTAAGCTCTCTCATGATGAGTGTAAGCAAAAGCATACCAAAATGGGTCCTACGAAGATATTTCCCTGATTCAGGTAGTCATTATGCATTGTCGGTGCTTGAGAAAATGCCGCAAAGGCCACGGAAAACTCTCGATACCTTAATCAACACCAATAATCCGCATGCATTGGATCTCATTCATAGGTAAGTCGAGGGTGACCACTTCTGTTTTGTCGGCGATTATCGATTTTCTGTCAGGTTATTGATTTTCGCTCCCCATCGACGTTTGACTGTCGAGCAATGCTTGGTTCATCCATATGTTCTACAATTTCATAGTCCTGCCGACGAACCAGTTTTGCCGTACGATGTGAGCTTTTTACTGTATATATTTGCCATCAGTTACGTGATTAGGATCAAGTCACCAACGCTAGCCTAGATACGGCTATCCAGGTCCGTCCATTTTCCCGAGTGTCCTTCCTAAACTACAGGTGACTTCAGGTGGGTGTATTAGTACTGGACCACAGAGGGATTTAGAGCTGGCGCACTTGGGCTGGAGTTTTTCTGCAGTTTGAGTATTGATCGGCGTCAAAACGAAAGCTGTTCTAAATACATGGCAGAGGCGCGTACGATAGCGTCGCTAGCAATATCATAGGGGTTGATGCTCGTGATGTTATCGCCAATAGGGCTTGTCAGCAATTAGCAGTCTACTGTAGAACATACGATTCTTGCATGCCATCGTGTAGGAAGGTCATCGGGGTTAACGATATTGATTTTTAAATTTTCATTTTAGCTACCGTCTGTACCTATGATCCCAGAAATTGTAGAAAATGACTGCGCTCTCCATTTCTGTTTAATTTTGCTATCACCTTTGTACTTTTTATGTTTGTTAAAGTAAAAAATGATGAGACAGAGTGTTCATAGTTTATTTTAAAGGGCCTCGTGACGAGAATCCATTCAGCGTTACAGTAGTTCTCGCATAGGATATTGACCTATATTAAAACATAAAGAGTGCGGCGGTCTTTCACATCGGTTTTTTTATGTACAAATTGTACCAAACTCACTAAACGCCTGTTTGCACCAGCCTGTTAATGATTTCATTGATTGCTTTGTTCCTCGGTTTTCCCAGATGTGTGAAAATCAAGGTAATGAGCTAATTGTGTTTCAGGTGAATCTGCCGTTGCCTGATCACATCCAATTATCGATTGATGATTATCGGAACAAGTTGTATGATATGATGAATCAAAAGAAGACGCACATCCGACGGATACAACACGATAAAATCAAACTAGTTAGTCCACTAAATCTTTCTTTCTCTTCAAAGTACTGTGTTATGTGGCTAACTTTCAGATAGAACGGCCACAGACAACATCATCTACAGTAACCGTGGTGAAGCCATCTACACCTATGCGTAATGGCAGTAATGTGAGAGGAGCAGCGCCAATAGCACAAGCCGAGTGCAGTGATACCGATTACGATACGGCCAGAAGTATGGCTCGAGCGGCGAGTGTCGAGAAGAACGGCAGTCTGCATAGTGGCAGTACTCTTAGAGGTACGGTTTTGGAATCATGTTGCAGTAGCTGGGAATTTGAGTGTGTAAGCGTGTCTATACTCTGCGAATTCAAAGCTGCCGTTAGCGGTAGTAGCTAAGGTGTTTTATTATAAACGATGCCCACGTTAAACGTGGCTATACCTTCGCTGAAAAAACAGGTTTACTTTCAGCATCACATTGCAGATATTACAGCTTCGTATGTATTTTATTATAATATTTGTTTTGTGTATATGCAAATCCGATACTAATTTGACGATAAAATAGCTGCGGTCGCGTTTTATTGTTAGTCTACCCTGCCTTTTGTATTAGGTTTCTAATTTTTGGGAACTAATTGGGCAGCGTCATTTTCTAGAATGACTACTACTTTCTTCCGTTTCTTACCCCGTATTACCTTAGAAACAACGATGTACGTCATCGAGAAAGAAGTTAATTCCAGGCGTACCCTTCACGGAATGCGTAATCATAGGCTGAAGACTGAGGGTGATTATTTTGAACTATGTGGCGTTATTTTCCCTTTTAGAGTCGCTTTCATTGTTATGAACAAGTTTAGCCACTTCTATATCTGCAGTAATTGTGCCCTTGTATCCACACGGTTGAGTGTGACGTTAGGTCAGGCAGCGTGCTGCGCAAGTTATCCTAGTAGTACACCTTCATGGGCGCCCGTCATCTTTGCCATCGAAAAATCGGAAGTTTGTCAGGCTGACAGAGTTTATAAGAGCACTTTCATTTTGTCATTTCGCTCATTTGTGTTACTTTCTAACTTTTTTTTTCCAGAACGTGNAACAAGTTTAGCCACTTCTATATCTGCAGTAATTGTGCCCTTGTATCCACACGGTTGAGTGTGACGTTAGGTCAGGCAGCGTGCTGCGCAAAGTTATCCCAGTAGTACACCTTCACCGTCCGCCATCTTTGCCATCGAAAAATCGGAAGTTTGTCAGGCTGACAGAGTTTATAAGAGCACTTTCATTTTGTCATTTCGCTCATTTGTATTACTTTCTAACTTTTTTTTTCCAGAACGTGCGCAGTCGGCTGATTCACGGTCGTCCAAAGGAAATGGGATGACGAAAGGTCGGCGACGTTCGATCGAGCGGCCACGGATGTTCAGGGGAATTACGCCGAGCCGACTTATGCACCCACATAAGCTTATCTCGAATTATTGACCGTTTTGTGGTCTGATGATACAGTAAACTAGCCGACTAGATGCACCGTTTTTTGCTCAAACATTGCTCAAACATTCGAGAACTAAGTAGCTTTTTGAATATTGTGCTCTATCTGTACCCACCTTCCTTGATGAGGGCGTAACTTTCTGATGTGGGCGGTACTTGTTTGCCGACGAATGTTTCAGCCATACTTCATCTCGGCATGAAAACGGTGCATCTGTGGCCAGAATGACACATTATCTTCACTTCTCATGATCTCAGCAAACGGTCTCAATTTTCTAGTCGCATCTATTTATTTAAATGACCAAATGTTTTCGTTGTTTTGCATTAAAGACGGGAAGCGCGCAGACAGCGAGAGTGGTTCTACTTCTCTGCCTTAGCGACATCTTAGCTCATTCGACTCAGTTGAGCTTGTCTTGTGGGCGGGGCTTCGTGTTTTATTAGACACACCTATTTTTGACGTTTATATCCGCAATTTTTTTTGTTTAAATGGTTGTGATTTTCCGTCAAATCTAGTTCAATCGGTCGTCTTCCCGTCGTTTATGTCAGAATGATTTTGAAAATAGTCATACAACGACGAATGTGTGTATTACTTGAGTTGAATTGTTGTTTTTGTTGTCTTTCATTTAGATATCGTCTCCCACACGTTGAATGGATATTATTGTATGTTTGTTTGTTGTCATTTCCAGTACGCAATAATGTTTGTATACGGGGAAGAAGAAAAAGAAGAAGTTGATGAAGAATAAATGAAGTCTTCATGACGTTTACACTTCTGAGCGCGATTTTTTGTTTCGTGTCCGTTTGTGACGGGATGTTTACCTGTTTATGCGCTTTTGAACATTAATTTCGAATCTACTTTGAACATTCGATTCGATATTTTTTGAAGGGTTTTGTGAAAATTTTCCGAATTCACAAAACAAGAGCTTTCCGCTTGACTGGGCGATGCACTGCCAAATGACTGGGCTGTCAGGAATTTAGTCACAGGTTCGGATCACTAAAGTCGGTTTTTTTCATGCATGAGTTTTTTTCTTTCTTGCGTGCCTGTTTTTTCTTTCTGAGGATTACGATTACCCTCTTCCTCGAGAAAATTTAAAAATTGTTTGAATGTTGATTATGTGATTACTTATAATAATTTGGATCATGATGTACGTGATCTTTATAAGAATTAACAAATTTGAGCCATGCACTCATCCTCTGCTAGGGATTTATAAGTGATTGAAGGTCATAGGGAGGTTCGTAAGTTCAATGCTGCACAATCCATGGTGGAATAAGCCAGAGTCAACGGCATGAAGGTATTGCCTTCAAGCAATCTCACAATATCAAGAATCGGTGCCGTTCTATCCTTAACATTCGCTTTTCAATTACAAAGCGATGGAGCTGTTTGGACGAGTTTAACGCCATTGCTTTGCAATCGGATACGCGAGTAGTTACGGTATTTTTGCGCCCACATTTTATTTCCGCCGTTATCTAAGGTACAGCTTTCATGTTGCTCCATGACACAAATGGTGATGTTGTTCGTGCAGCGGCGTACGGGTTACAGAAGGCCATAGATGTTGGACGAGTCACACCCAGAAACTTCCGCCCCCCCCCCCNATCCGTTTCCAAAACATTAAGGGACGGATATGTGTAGTATAATTAAGGTGGTCTGGCAAAATGCTGGTTCGCCTGCATCGTGACGTCGTTTAATCCATCTGTGGGTAACCTGCCCATACGAAGGAGCCACTTTTGTCTGTAGATGCAATGTTTTGCAATTGGGAACAACTTGAAAAACTCATGAAATTCTGCTGTTGACCTCGCAATTAAATACAAATTGCCGTAATGAATACACAAAGATTATTTAGACCCCGTGGTAGGCGGATTTGCCGGATTGCCTGTGCATCCTGCAGCTCCCCATTCCGATATATACACGTTATAGTAGCGATGGTGATCATAGAATGTAAGCTCGAGTATGGGGACCTGATCACTGCACTTTTCGCTCTCGTCCGCATCGCATTCGACGTAATCGGCAGTTGTCATATTGTTGTTGTACCATACCTAGAATGTACGAGTAAGTCAGCAGGTCCACTTGTTCGCTCAATTGTTCAATAATTTGAGGCGCAACTGTGGCACATGTGGCGGTAAGATCGGACCTGGTTTGGCGAAATTTGGCTAGATATGGTACGATCTCTATGAGGCGAGTATGTAAGAGTTTAACGACTTGAATCGATTGCATGGCGCGTCTGAGAGAGGTTATGACTCAAACGTGTACGTTTACAGACGAGTTGCACTATCTCCCTGAGATAGGAACCTGCACTCAATGAGGGTTATGTCAGGAGAGCAGCGTATTCCTGGTAAAATCAGTCGCCTACGAAGTCCAACCGAAGCTTTTTGCACCAGAATCTTGAGGGGATCTCTCGGAAAACTTAGTATCACGATCGGAACGAAGAAGTCAAAGCGTAATGGAGTAACATACCTCTGATTTGTGATGCCAGTAATTTCGGAATCCTTTTAACGGGCTCTGTGGAACGATGTCATGAGCATGAACGACACGAAATGAATATGGAATCTGTAATCGGACAAGAAGAATTATGCTGTCAGACAGTGATCATTCGCTGAGAATCAATATCGATCGATAATTTAGCAGTTCCTCACTGCCTCAGAACGGATCCGCGGACGATTTCATAAAAATGCTCGATGAAAAATTGGTTTAGAATGTGGAAGAAGTTGCGGATCATAAAAGCAATGTTTTCTCACTTCAGACTTCGCCCTATTCTCTCATTGGGTCTCATTTTGCTCCTACCCACATTTATCTAATGTTTCCATGTTCTGGGTCCCCAAGGACGGGACTTCGTACCTGAGCATCATGTGCCTTTGCAAAGGCTTTATCTCCAATTCTTGGCTGGCCAAAAGTCACCAGTTTGATCAGGTTCCCATCGTATAGCTTCTTATTTTCAATGTACGACGCAGCCAGTGATGCCATAGCTCCGCCGAGGGAATGGCCAACAATCTGGAAGGAAATCACTGCATGATCGGTCTTGAAAGCATGGTTCACTACCATTTTTGGTATCCATTTTAAGGTAAGACGATCGAAGTTAAAGTGGAGTACTGGTGGCGAGGAAGGCGGGAAAATCCGCAGTATTAACAAAACACAAGACTTTCCAGGGGTAGTTACATGCGGGGGTTCTACGAAATTATGGCAACGAATGGAGGGGTGGGGAGTTTGGACGAGATTATAGTCGCGTGCAATTGCGTAAGATAAGATGGGAAAAGGATGAAAGGGTGGAATTTAATTCTTTGAAAACTTACCCATAATTCATAGCCTTTATACTTGTTGGCAAGTGTGAGGAAATCATCCTTCATTCCCCCATTCCAGACAGAAAAGAAGGCATTGTTAAAATAGGTTGAGACAGTGCCACCGGCAACCCAGACTGTCTATAATGAAATGATTCATAATGAAATTGATTCTTTACTTGGTTTCAATTTCTTCTCCTTGAAGTTGTCTAAGGGTTAATCATAGGTTATTGATTGGTCACGCTATTCAGGCGCGGGCTTATGTTCCCGCCGCCCTCAACATTCCTGAATTGCATGATTCCTTGCGGGACCGCGAAAATGGTTGGACTTTTCTATCGGCAGTGATCTTCGTAGCTTCTATACCCTACTAGAGAGTGCAAGTTGGTAAGGTAAGTTGGTTTGAGAGGTAAGTTGGTTTGAGCATTAATTTTACTTTGTGTTGGCATTTTTTGGATGGGTCGGCACATTTTTGAACCTGGCCCGAGGGTGATGACCCAAGGTTAAATAAGGTGGAATGGATGCAAGGCTTCGGTCTACGAGTTCATAACTCCGAATTGTTGTGAATTGTTTTGTTTACTTACTTCTATCGAAAAGGAAAAGGTCCGAGAAAAAGTGAAGCGGGTTCAAGTATAGGCTGAGGAAATGTGTACTGCCCCTGGCTTGAGCATGCTTATGTTAATTTACTTCAGCTTCAGGTAATCCTTTTTGTATCCTACTATCGTATGGTAAAAAATCTTCCAATTTTTCCACAAAAGAGTGTTTTCTATACGAAAAAATTCTAAAGTACACTCACCCTCTCATCGAAAAGGGTAACCTCAGATTCAAGAAGTAGTTGTTTCTCTCCAATGGTACCCCTGAAATCGGTATTGTAATATTGATTCAAAATATTTATATGTAACCAGTCGATGCTCGTCTAACGCCGGGCTTCCCTTCTTCTTCGACGAAGTTGTAGTAATCGGCTAACCCTTCACTCCCTCTTTGAAGCAGATAGTAGTTTCCTCTACATGAAATTCGACACAGGACTAACAGGGCAGTGCAAATGGTATTCAGTGAAAGTCAGTGCTTTTGACTGAAGTGTCAATATACTGCTCTTTTTCTTAAGAATAAATACCCATCAAAAATTCAACTGTCAGACAACCAAAGTCTTGGGCAGTACTTACAAATATTTCGAGTGATAGGTCGATTAAGTTTTGTCGCAAATGACATCGAACAAAGAGGATCCTTCATTGAATCACAAACCTTGCTGAGTAGCGGTCGCAATCTAATAGAAAGAAATGAACATAATCTTATTCTGCTTATCGTAGTGCCGCTAATGGTTCCTGCACTTACCACTCATTTTTGTCACCTTTCTCAACCATCAATTCTTATCGAATGAAACATACTGAATGGTTGAAGCTACATCAGAGATATCGAATACGTTAGGATTTTGATTGGTAGGTAGCTCTCGCTCTCTTAGACCCCTTATCTTCTCTTATCAATTTCATCGGTTCCTGTCGGCGAGTACCTGCGATCCCGTCATATCCTACATCACTCGTTAGAATGTCGAGGTTCCTCTGTTAATACGAAAAGCTGTTATCCTACCAAATTCTACGTAAAAACAGTTATGAATTTACGGTCAAAATACTGTATCACGCACACCCCACCCACTGTGGGCGGAGTCTGGTCCTGCTACCTGCCATGAGTGTTCTCATCCTGCTGTCTAAACTCCTACCACCTCAACTTTCTAGGTCCGCTGGTACAGGAGTTGTGAGCTTACGGTCAAAAATTGCTATCGCGCAAGCCCCGCCCCCTCCGGGCGGAGTCCTGCACTGCTACCTGCTGTGAGTGTTCCCACTCTGTTACCTTTACTCGTACCGAATTTCACTTATGAATTCCCGGTCAAACACACCGACACACACGCAAACAAGCAAATAAACACACCGAAAAACCAAACGACATACTTAGGTAGCGAATTATGTACAGTAGGATAGGCAAGTTTGAGCTTCTTCGCAAATTCTCGATTTTTGATTTCTGGGAAGGATTACGCATTTGTTTGATCTCCTTAGGTTACGGACTAAATTACAAGATGGACCTGGGTAACTCTACCACTGAAGTAGTTCTCGGGTGTGGTTGTCAAAGGAAAAAAAGGTAGTATTGGATATTTGGCGATCAAAGAAGTGCGGCGATGCTTGCTCATTGGAACCAACACTGTGCAGCAAGCTGTAAATTCGTTAAGTATAGGCGCACTTGTCGTGGCCCCAACTGTGCAGTATGAAATAACACACTCGGAGAACACGTTCAATTAGCTGCATACAAACGGTTGTAGTCAAAATCCACCTTACCTGAAGACCAGCATGATGGCTTTGTCGGGATGATCGATAGCCGTATATCCACTACAGGTGTCCGTAGGTATTTGGTCACATTTCGTAGTAATTTTATGCAGCACCTTAATTTTTTTCCAACAAGTTAATGGATCAATGATCAGAAGAAAGTTTTTGGCTGTCTACCCGTTTCACGCCCCACGAGTCCCTCCAACAGTATTGTTTCCAAGGCATCTAATACGCTTTGCAAAAAACTCGTGCGACAAGAATGAGGAAGCACAAGGCTGAATTCAATAAAATAGGTCACCATCATCTTGGAGGATATCATTCTTCTTTCCGGTAACTCTTGTTACTACGAGTTCTGTAAAGAAATGCACGGGGGAACAATTGAAGGAAATCCTATGAGCTGGTGACATGCCCGATCATCGAAAGGATTAACACCCTGGTGAGTTGCAAAAAATAGCAGCATTTACCGGCAAAAAGTGATCAGCACCTAAATGCGAAGAACGCCATATTACTCGGCTCCTAGGATTGCGCAGAGCCAGATAAGGACTGCGTTAGGAAGGACGTTCTGCTTCAATTGGGATGGGACGGCATCAAAGTGAAAGTCTACGGCCGACGCTTACACGCCTTGCAGAGACCTAATGCTTGTGACACCGAACACAGAGCAAAAGAATAAATGCTAGCTGAATTCGAGAACGCTTGAGGAAAAATTCCTTGCGACTGGACCCAGCGAAGACGACGCCTGCAATAAACGAATTGGTACCTGATGGCCATTTTAAGCTCAGCGGTACGAGCATCTTCTGTGAACGGAGATCAGGAACTATCCCACACGCGCTGAGAAACTTTTCATTGGGTGGGTCGGATACAAGTACGACAAGGAGCACTCAGGAAATGGTAAAGGGGTGTGATCAAGAGGTAGAATTAAGTGCTGTTCCTGGAGGGCGGTGACGGAAAGGATTAAATCGGGTCAACTAAGAAAAGGAGGGGACAGAGCGAACAGCGCGAGTTTACCGCCTGAATAACGAATAAAGAAGATGAACTCACCTATGGGATTAATCGTTGCCTCAAAAAAGGCATCCCTTAAAGACACAGGATACGGTAGAACTTATTCGCGAGATTTAAATCTAGGACTGACCAATAGTTGCAAGTGTGCCATATAAAATGCTGTCGAAAAATGGCCCAGATAGGGCCAATGAGGGCTCGAAGACCTGCTTTGTTGAGTTTAAATCCAAAACCGGACGAGTTTTGTCACATGGAGCACGGAGCCGGACGATTCCGGAGTAAAGGTTCAGTAAGATGAATTATCTATCAGCCGTAAATTTTCTAGAGTGCACCTTCCATTCTCATTATGTTCATACTGATGGGGACGACCAGAACTTTTTTGACCATGATGAATACTCATACTTCTTATTATAGACGCCTCTGTTTCAAATTTGGTATTTGAAAAAAGGTAAAAAAGGGACTGTATCCTACCGTTGTATTTGTGAACGAAAGCCGGAGACATATCTGTGGGTCGTCCAATTCGGTAGCAGCACATAACGTGACTACTTTAGTNCGGGCGAATTCATCGGAGAATTGTGGCGGTTGCCTCAATGCTACAGCTGAACTGCTGAGAAGTACAGCACAGATGAGAGTAGCAAACATCTCCCTGCCGAATGGACGAGTTAATCAGCGACATAACGATAGACCAGCTATTACATCACTAAAATGTGATTACTGATGACAACTCGACGGAATGTCTTCGATAAGATACTTACCAGGGAAGGGTTTCAACCTCCCATGGAATTTCGAATAGAGACCTAGGTAAATCGATAGGGCTTGGGTAGTTATTAACAAATTTGGAAATAAAAACTGCAAAATGAGTCTACCAAAAAAAGTTGTAAGCGTTCAAAGTTTGCATGCTTAAAGCATAGAGAGATAGTTCCAGTTGATAAGCGCAGTTGCCCGCAACAGCCACAATGGCCCCCATGGCGTATGGCAGCGTGAAACGCTCTCCCTTTCCGGGTGAGCGATGAAGGTTTGCTCCCTGTTGTCGTTTTCGTTTTTGCAAGACGTGCGTTCATCCGAAACCCGAATCACTTGGAACAAATGCGTGAAAAACTGAATATTGATGAAGCAATCCAAGAAATGAGCGAACCCGGTATGTTGTTCATAAAACGCGAACCTCATATGTACATGCTGTCTCTCTAGAACCGTAAATAAAACACACAATTGAGTCGAGACCAAAAAATACACGTTTTCTCTAAGGTCGTTTCGTCGATGTTGTGTTTTCTCGTGTGTCTAAGACTTTCGCTTTGGGTGTGGGTATGTGTGTTTCGGTGTTGAAAAGAAAGAGCGTTACAAAAATGACGTGAAGGAATCCTACTTACTATAAAGCGCTTCGTCTGTCGTCTGTCGTCTGTCGTCTGTCTGTCTGTCTGTCTGTTGTCTATGACGACATTCCTTAGCTCCTTTGGATCTGCCTGGAGAGACCGGGTCAAGCGTGGGATGGGTTGGCCATGTCCCGAGAAGTATAAACATATCAGCTTGGCGGGAGCCCGCCCACAGTGGGCGTGGCTTGCAGCGAAATGAGCTGTACTGAGGGCCATGGGGGTTTAAAGCTGGCTAGAGGTGTGCGTTGGTAAGTTAGATCGAAATGGGGAGACCCACCCACGCTGGGCGGGGCGTTCTCCAAAAATGCAATGCCTTATGAAAACATTTACAACTCGGTTTGGAGAAAGCCAACAGAGCAGGAAAAAGTTGATGTGGGAGAAGCATTGTTGAAGGTGTCTCCAGCATAAATGAAGTCAGCGGAGGCCCGCCCACAGTGGGCGGAGCGTGCCTCGAAGCTCACATCCCTTCTTCATTTATACGAAAATTCATAACTCCGCTTCCCATGAACCTAAAGAGTTCAAATTTGGTAGGAGTACAGGCGGCATGATGGGAAGATCTATGTTGGGTGGCAGGACCAGACTCCGCCCACAGGGGGCGGGGTTTGAGCGGAAACTCATAGATCCGTTAAAGGTCTGTAATGAAAATCAAATCGAATATTGATCGCAAATGGTAGCCGAAACAAGACGCCTACTCAATTAGTGGGAAAAACGGTTTAGGGCTTCTATTCGGAAGAAAGCACGTCTTGCAAAAACGAAAACGACAACGAGAGCAAAGCCTCATCGCTCACCTGGAAAGGGAGAGCACTGTCATTACGTCGCGGGGTCCCTTGTGTCTATTGCGGGCAACTGCGCTTATCAACTGGAACTATCTCTCTATGCTTTAAGCATGCAAACTTTGAAAGCTCACAACTTTTTTAGTAGACTTATTTTGCAGTTTTGATTCCCATATTTGTTAATAACTTTCCAAGCTCTATCGATATAGCTAGGTCTCTATTCGAAGTTCCACGGGAGATGGAAACCCTTCCCTGGTTAGTATTTGGCTCTCCCTCGTCAGAAGGATTATGATAGCTTCTATCAGCATTCTCCGCTGCTGCCATGGCTAGAATCTACTCCTTACTCTAGGCCCCATAGTTCTAAGGATAACAGTATGTCTGGAAAGCTTTGGTATCTTTGACTCGGCACATTGAGCATGTTATCTGGGTGTCTAGATGTAGGGCTCATTAGAACTCTCTCGAACTAAAAATGAGAAATGAATCTAAATCAAAAATCAAAAAGAAACTGCTCAAAATCGAACTTGAATTCCCCGATGCGTTCGATATCCAGTAGTGATTCCATCAGAATTGATAGGAAAATAGTAAGACGGGTTAATGTGACAGTTACGGTTTGAGAGCTATTCGTACTTGGTGAGCGTTGCGCGAGTGTTTACGGTCGTCGCGGCTGCGAGTCAATAAACACGTTTGACAGGGAGGCGGACATTGAACGGTTTTGAGAATTAGATTCGCCGCACGCGGCGGTCGCGGACTAGTTGCCTCTTTGTTCCAGTCCAGCGTCCTTCTTACAACTCGATCAGTACGCGACTATTTTAGATCTCATTCTACCATCACTTCCTTTAGTCTTGTATTTCTTGCTCGCTGCTTCATTCTGCCGCATCTTTTAGCGCGCGACATCGCTTTCGCCGCGAAGCGGCATCTTCGGTTCAACTGCACCACACCCTGTTTGACATGCTACTACATTCAGTTCTATCTAGTCGTCTTTGCATCTTTGACGATCGTGTAGAGGTCGGTCTTCAGTCCGGTCTGTTGTCATTTCAATTGACGTAGTAATCTGCTTTCAACAATTGATCCGCTATTTTTGAAGGAATTTGTGAAAATTTTACAAATTCTCGAAATCAAGAGCTCCCGTTTACTTGAATGGGTGGTGGTTGGGCTGTCAGGAGTTTAGTTACAGGTTCAGATACATAGAAATTGCTTGTTTTACTTTAAGCAAACCTTTTCATGCATGACTTTTTCTACATGCTCTTTTTTTTCTCTCTAGAGGTTACGATTACTTTTTCCTTCAAGAAAAATAATAGGAATTATGCATTTCGGTACTTAAGAGTCATCCACCTAAAAAGGTTGGCAATGTCGCATCCTCGTCCATACATTTTATTTTGCATGGCCGAGGACGCTACACAAGGACCGCCCACCCCGGGCCATTGCTCAGTTGTATCCACTTGTAAGCTGTAAGCTTGTTAATCGCTGAATCGTAGAACTCCTATTAACTCGAACGAACCACCACAGCCGAACTTAACACAAGGGTACTGCACATTTGATGCACCGGCATTCACGAACTAATCTGCCAGTCCTTGCATCTCGCCATCTGACAAACCAGGCGAGTGACCAGGCAAAGTAGCCCGTAACTCCCCCGACTCTATCACTACCCTGACATAGCACTTTACTTTCAAAGGTCAAGCATCAAGAACGCATGCAGAACGCATAGGTTTCTGCACTGCCGCAGCTTCGGCAATCGAAAACGCCATATCAGTAGTAAGTAGTTATCGAATTGAACTAGTAAACATACTCGAGAGTATCCAAAGGGAATACGCGGAAATGAAAAAATCTAAACGCAAAGAATTCCTCGAAGAATTCCCAACCATAGAAACTGAGATTCTCTGTCATCAAACGCTACGTGAAAGAGATGGTGTTATAACAGCGGTAATTACATTCCTTGGGAGGGTGAGATGCGAACATGGGGCAAATTTTGAGCCAAACCCCTTTCATAAAAGAACTACTGGA